GGGAGGCTGTGCAGGGCTTTATGTGGGGTAACTGCTGAAAGCGCCGGTCCTGTGGAGCCCCACCTTGCTGTGGGCTCTGGGGAGATGGTGCTGCTCCTTCCCCAGGAGTCGGAGAGGGACGTGTTGCGGGGGAGGTCTCTGGTTTTGACCCCTGCCGGTGCGCTGGCAGCGGCAAGGTTAAGCCAGCTCGGCTCACTGTCGCGGGGTAGGTACCGGCGGGTGCTGCCTCGCCTGGACTTTGGTCCTGGCCAGTGCCCTGTGCCAAGGAAGCTGGAGACCGACTGTGGGCATGGAGCCGGCCGTGCGTGGAGCTGAGGCCAGGCCTGCCCTTCCGCCTGGGATGAACGAGTAGGAAGGCCAAGACCCTCGGCAGGGCATGCCTCCCTGCTCCCCACAGCCCCCCACGGGTGAGCAGGAGGGCTGGGGGCCAGAGAGCCCTCCCCTGCGTCCCCAGTGCTTCCCATGGGCCATGCCAGGGCGAGGAGGTTGCCAGCCGCTCCCCCCCTTGGCTCCAGTGTTTGCTTTTCCAGCTCCCAGCAGGATCCTGCTCTGGGGCAGAGCAGGGCTTGTTTGGAGCTGTTTGCAAGCCACAAAGCCTCGGCCAGGCTCCTGGCAGCCGTCTGCAGCTCCCTCATGCTGGTGCAGCTCTGGCTGCCGTCTGAGCTGGCACGTTAAGTGCAGTGCTGGGGAGAAGGGGGTCCCTGCGCTGTCCCGTACATCTGTGCGACACCAGGCGGTGCGGGGACACATCCCCTTGTACAGGGAGGTGGCAGGGGACCAGCCTGCGACCACGGTGCTGGGCCTGGCTCCCATTTTGCCCCGGGGGCCTCTTTGCTCCCCGCTGCTCCATGATTTTCCCTGTGACGGCTGTGTCTCTCCCCACAGATCCGGCTGCGGTGCCAGAAGGGGATCCCACCCTCGCTGCGAGGCCGTGCCTGGCAGTACCTCTCCGGCAGCAAGGTTAAGTTGGAGCAGAACATCGGCAAGTTTGACGTGAGTGCCGCCGGGGACTTCCCTGCACTGCCGGCGAGGGTGTGCTGGTGGAGGGGAGCAGTGCTGGGATGGCTTCTGCTCACTCCAGGGCTGGGGCATCTGTTGGGGTCCCAGATGCTGCTTGTTCCCGCTCTAGGGGGGCCAAGGGGGCTAGCACCCTAGCCAGCGTGGGCTGACCCATGACCTGATGGGACTCATGTTCAGGGCAGAGCCAGGCCAGCCCCATGGCTGCTCCAGTGGCTCCCCTGGGCTTCCTGTGGGCCCCATGTGCCAGAGCGGGGCTGGCACCATGCCGGTGTGGAGTTTTGCTCACCCCAACCCTCTCCTCCTCAGGAATTGGATCTCCTCCCGGGGGACCCAAAGTGGCTGGATGTGATCGAGCGAGATCTCCATCGGCAGTTCCCCTTCCACGAGATGTTTGTCTCACGCGGAGGCCACGGGTAAGTGGAGCTCCTGCGTGTCCAGTCCTTGGCAGCCACTGGGCTGGACAAGCACTGTGTGGTGGGCACTGTCTGTCCCAGCTCATGGAGCTGCAGTGACCCCCCCTGCAATCGTCACACCCCCCAGCTCACAGAGCATCCAGGCATGGGCTGAAAACAGGGTGGCTTCCCAGGAGCTCGCTGCGTAGGTCACAGCTCTTGGCACCAGCTCTGACACCCAGCGGGTGGGGATTGCTGCGGCAGAAGGGAGGGGGCGGCCGGCTGTAGCCTCTGTTTTACCAGGGAAATGCCATTCCCCAGGTGTCGGGAAGTCTCTGTGCTGCTGTGCTTGCAGCTCACCCTGAGCCAGCACCTGTGGGAGATCAGAATCTTAGAGGTCTTTTCCAACCTTAACGATTCTAAGATCATCAAGTCAACTGTCAACCCAACACCACCATGCCCACTAAACCACATCCCGAAGTGCCATTTCTACACGTTTTTTGAACACAGTGGTCATCTCCCTGCCTCGCCTCTCGGATCCAGGCGGGATGGGGCCTCCGTGGGCCGCGCTTCCCAGGGCAGAGCCATGGTTATCGTGTCCCATAGTCCTGAGTTTGTGTGGGAAGGGGATCCCAACCAGGGACTGGCCCAGGCTCCTGGGGGAAGCGTGGTGGCTGGTGCCGGATCACCATGCAATGCCCAGTGCTGATTTGGCCTGCTGTGGAGGCTGCTTGGCCACGTCTGTGCCCTCTCTCCACCTCTCCCTCCCCGGGGTGTCTCTGCAGGCAGCAGGACCTGTTTCGGGTGCTGAAGGCGTACACGCTGTACCGCCCGGAGGAGGGCTACTGCCAGGCCCAGGCCCCCATCGCTGCTGTCCTGCTCATGCACATGCCGGCCGAGGTATGAGCATGTGGCTTGGGAGGGCAGGGACACCCAGTGGCCAGAGAGCTGGGACCATCGGGAGGGTGTGGGTCTCTTTGGGGTGGTGCTGGTGGGCAGGGTGCTCGGCTCACAGCACCCGTTTACCCCAAAGCTCGGCTGGCGCAGGAGGTGCCCTTCGCCCCAGGCGTGCTCTGCCTTCCTCCTGCCCGCTGCCCTGGGGGCGGGGTGGGGGCTGCAGGGACGTCCCGGGTGCTCACCCGCTGTCCCTTGGCTTGCAGCAAGCCTTCTGGTGCCTGGTGCAGATCTGCGAGAAGTACCTCCCTGGCTACTACAGCGAGAAGCTGGTGAGTGAAGGGCGCGCGGTGCCTTCGGCGGTGGCAGGGACCTGTGATGTCCCCAGGCCGAAAGCTCCCCCAGCTCCTCACCCCAGAGGAAGAAGGGAGCTTGGGGAGATCCTCGGTGCTCCCATGGTCTCTGTGTTGTGCCATGGCCCCCAGGAGCATCCCACAGTCAGGGATGGGGGGCTCAGCCTTTGCTGCCGGCATCCGTGGGGCACAGCTCTGCTCCCGTAGCCAGGTCTTGGAGGATGGGCTCCTCCCAGTGCCGGGCCAGGGTTAAGGTGCTCACTGGGGCTGTCATGCTGTCCCTGCAGGAGGCCATTCAGCTGGACGGGCAGATCCTCTTCTCGCTGCTGCACAAGGTCTCGCCCGTGGCCTACAAGCACCTGAGCAAGCAGAAAATCGATCCCATCCTCTACATGACAGAGTGGTTCATGTGCGCCTTCTCCCGCACGCTGCCCTGGAGCTCCGTCCTGCGCGTCTGGGATATGTTCTTCTGCGAAGGTAGAAGCTCCCTGCCATCCTCCTCCTCCTCCTGGAGGGACTGGCTGCAGTCCCCACGGCACGTGGACGGCACTCAGGGCCACGGCAGGAGCACTGCTGTGGCTGCTTGCCTGTGCCTGGCATGTGGGACCTGTTGTAGGGTGGGTTTGGGGCAGCCATGTGCCTGGGGTGGAGACCGGGCTCTTTCTCGGGCTTAGAGGGCACGTGCATCCCAAATGCACCCTCGTGCGTGTTTTTACTGCTAGCAGGACCGGGACCTGGTGCCCAATCACATCTGAGGGACATAGTGGCAGCGTCACCTTGTCCCGCCAGGCGCTCGCTGCCTCACCTCTCCCCTTGCAGGGGTGAAGATCATCTTCCGGGTGGGTCTCGTGCTGCTCAAACACACCCTGGGCTCCTCGGACAAGCTCAAGTCCTGCCAGGGCCAGTACGAGACTATGGAGAGGCTGAGGGCCCTCAGCCCCAAGATCATGCAGGAGACCTTCCTGGTGCAGGAGGTGAGGTGCTGGGGAGAGTTTGGGGGCCCAGTGCCGCCCAGTTGGCCACGCTGCTGGACTGGGCTGCCCCTGGGTGGGCAGAGCTGGTGTGGCATGGGGGCGGTCCCCGAAGGGCTTGAATTTGGGGTTGCCTCTGCCCTGGGGGGCTATCCCACCCCCTGCCCCAGTGGCTGTGGTGCACGGCACCGGCACG